AAAATGTTAGCTGTGTGTGGTGGTGCACACGTGAATTCCCAGCTACTCGGGAGGCTGAGGCAGGAGAATCTCTTGAACCTAGGAGGTGGAGGCTGCAGTGAGCCGAGATCGTGCCACTGTACTCCAGTCTGGGCAACAGAGCGAGACTCCATCTCAAAAAAACAAAGACAAAAACAAAAACAAAACAAATTGAACAGTTGTACCTCCCATTTTCTATGGGAATGAACAGCCCAGCCGAGAACCAACTGGAAGCCACCTGATGACTGTAGAACAGTTCTCTCCAAGTCAGCTCTCAAAGGTCAGATAATGAGTGAATGGATATGCTCCTACTTTCGGGTAACCCATGGCTTTTTTTTTTTTTTTTTTTGAGACGGAGTTTCACTCTTGTTGCCCAGGCTGGAGTGGAGTGGTGCCATCTCAGCTCACCACAACCGCCATCTCCCGGGTTCAAGCGATTCTCCTACCTCAGAGTCCCGAGCAGCTGGGACTACAGGCACGTGCCACCATGCCCAGCTAATTGTTACATTTTTAGTAGAGACAGGGTTTCACCATATTGACCAGGTTGGTCTTGAACTCCTGACCTCAGGTGATCTGCCCACCTCAGCCTCCCTAAGTGCTGGAATTACAGGCGTGAGCCACCGCGCCTGGCCAACCCGTGGGTTTGTTTTTTTTTTTTTTTTGAGACGGAGTTTTTTTGCTCTGTCGCTCAGGCTGGAGAGCAGTGGTGCAATCCCAGCCCACTGCAACCTCTGCCTCCTGGGTTCAAGCAATTCTCCTGCCTCAGCCTCCCAAGCAGCTGGGACTACAGGCATGCTCCACCAAGCCCAGGTAATTTTTCTATTTGTAGTAGAGAAGGGGTTTCACTATATTGGCCAGGCTGGTCTCTGAACTCCTGACCTAGTGATCCACCTGCCTCAGCCTCCCAAAGTGCTGGGATTACAGGCGTGAGTCACCACGCCCGGCCCCATGGCATTTTTATAGAACTAATTTCCAGCCCTGAGTCTGAAGGAATGATTTGCCTGAAAGTCTTAAAGCTCAGTACTGAAGTAGGCCAACAGTGAGTACTATCTAAGCCTCCCTCTTCCCTCTGCCTGACAGGAAACTCAATACTCCACTTGGCCAAGAGCCATTGTGTAGACAGACCCTCGGGAATACAATAGATGGGTTTTTCTCTGCTTCCAGGCTCTACTACCTATTCTAACCCAGAGATTCCTGTGCCCCATTTTTCTCAGATTCCTTAACATTGTTACATAGAATTTTTCTGTTCTCAAACCTTCCTCAAATATCTCATCTAAAGAAGTGGGTCATTATGACCACACAAAGGGACCTATGGCAGTAAATGTTTTGGGCGTATATGGAAGGCGAGTAGGGAAATTTCAAACAAAGACCCGGATTCCACAGCTTCCTCAAACTGCAGTCCACCATGGGCAATGGCAGCCCCAGGCGTCAGAAAGCACGCCACTTGCCTCACTGGTCCAGAATCTGTCCGGCCACACCCTTCAGAGAGGCCCTGCCTCCAAGGCCAGGGTGCACACTGCCACACCCTGCTTGGTCTCCTAGACAGGCGCTTCCCCATCTCCTTCTTTCATGAACAGTGGTGACTGGTGACTCAGGCAGCACTGCTTAGCAGAACTAGCGCTGGGAGTTCTGTCCAGATGGGGGGAAGGGAGGTGGAAGGTAGTGGTGTTAACAATCAGTGACAGTAGATCCCACTCATTTCCCTAGTCTATTTTACGACTTTGAACTCAGTATGCAAATTTATGCAAGACGAGATGCAAAGCAGTACTCTGAGCCAGAAGTCCCGTTGCTTTTTCCCCCTTTTTTTTGAAGCTGCACTGAACCACTGTAAATCAGTGCTCGCCTCTTCCCCCCTTTATTCTTCCCAGGCAACTGCAGATGCAGAGCCTCCCCAGGCCCGCC